GGACTGTCTGAAGCTAAATCCTTTTCCCTTAGGCCATTAGAGGAAGGACTGTCTGAAGCTAAAGCCTAATAAGGGAAAAGCTGTCATAGATTCAAATGCAACTGAGTGTAATGATACTAACTCAGTCTATTCATTAGCTGTAATGACATCGATGAGCCCTTCCACTGCATGCTTAACGAGCTTATTTGGTGCATGGTTACTTGATTCAGGATGTAGCCATCATATGTGTCCCAATTGGGAATGGTTACTTGACTTTAGAGAGCTCGAAGATGAAGTGGTGTATACAATAAATGACAATCCTTGCATCACAGAAGGGACTGGTTCAATCTATTGGAGGAATCATGATGGATTAATTAGGATTCTGACTAATGTCCAATAACAAGTTTGATAAAGAATCTCATCTCCTTGGGAGTCTTAGAATCAAAAGACTCCAAAGTGGTTGCAGAAAATGGAGTGATGAAAGTCATCTCTAGTGCATTGGTGCTGATGAAAGGATTATGAAGAAGAAATAACTTGTATTACTATCAAGGTAATGCAATTATTGGAACGATAGCAGCTACAATTTTTAGCAATGAAAATGAGTTATAAGCAACCAGGTTGTGGCATATGCGCTTGGGACATGCAGGTGACAAATCCTTAAAAGTTCTATCAAAGCAAGGATTATTAAAGATTATATGAACCTGCAAATTGGACTTTTGTGAATATTGCATCAAAGGAAGCAGACGAGAGTGAATTTTGGCACTGCAATCCATAATACCAAGGGTATTCTGGATTACGTTCACTCTGATGTGTGGGAACCTTTTGTAACAGCTTCAATGGGAGGTAAACACTACTTTATTACTTTTGTTGATGATTTCCTAGAGAGTTTGGGTGTATATTCTAAAGACAAAAGATGAAGTGTTAGTTGTTTTCCTCATATGGGAAAAGATTATGGAAAACCAAAAAGGCAAAAGGATCAAATGATTCCAAATAGATAATGGTGGAGAACATAAAATGATCCATTTATGAAGATATGTAAAGATGAAGGAATTGTACGAAATTTCATAGTCAAGGACATACCACAACAGAATGGGGTGGCAGAATGCATAAATCGAACGTTACTGGAGAAAGTTCGGTGTATGTTGTCCAATGCTCGGTTGGGCAAATAGTTTTGGGTTGAGGCTATCTCATACATGTGTCACCTTATTAATCGATCACCATCAATTGCTATTGGTAGACAAACACTTATAGAGGTGTGGTCTAGAAAACCTACTATAGATTATGACTCTTCGTGTGTTTGGTTCCATTGCATTTTATCATGTTAAGGAATCAAAGTTAAACCCAAGAGCAAAGAAAGCTATGTTTGTGAGAATTGCCTCGGGGGGGGGGGGGGGGGGGGGGGGGGGGGAGGGGAGGATATAAACTTGGGGGGGGGGGGGGGAGGGGGAGGATATAAACTTTGGTGTCCAGCGACAAAAGATAATCTTTAGCAGAGATGTCACCTTTGATGAGTCTACCGTATTGAAAAAGGTGATTGAGGAGCAAGTAGATGGTACTCCACAGCTAGTGGAGAGCACTCCAAAACAGGTGGAGTTTGAAAGAAGAATTGTAAACCCAGTAATAAATGATGAAATCATCGGAGACACTCTTACAGTAGAAGGAGAGTAAAAAAATAAAGAGGTTCCGGTCTAAGAACCTTCATAGTAACATGAATCAATTGTTTTGAGTAAGCCAAAAAGAGATATACGAAAGCTTGGTTGTTATGTTGATGTGGTGGCTTACACATCTTCAATTGCAAATGACGAAATTCCTGCCACTTTTAATGAAGTTGTCCAAAGTTCAAAAGAAGAAAAGTGGAGGAATGCTATGAATGAAGAAATGCAGTCCCTTGAAACAAATCAAATATGGAAGCTGGTTAGTCTGCAGAAAGAGAAGAAGGCAATTGGGTGCAATTGGGTATATGCAAAGGAGGGATTTCCCGACAAGCATGATGTTCGCTACAAGGCAAGATTAGTAGCTAAGGGCTATACTCAGGCAAAGGGAACTGATTATAATGAAGTGTTTTCTCCAGCTGTGAAACGTTCCTCCATTCAAATTTTGTTGGCCTTGGTAGCACAATTTGATTTGGAACTAGTTCAATTGGATGTAAAATTGTGTTTTTACATGGTGACTTGGAAGAGGAAATTTATATGACTCAACCAAAAGGATTCAAGGTTGCTGGTAAAGAAAATGTGGTATGCAAACTTGAGAAACCATTCTATGAATTAAAGCAATCTCCAAGACAATAGTACAAATGATTTGACAAGTTTTTCAAGGGCAGAAGTACACAAGAAGCAAATACGATCATTGTGTGTATTTGCGTAAGCTATAAGATAGATTTTTCATTTATCTTCTTTATATTGATGATATGTTGATAGCATCAAAGAATAAAAAAGAAATTGAGAAGCTGAAGACCCATTTGAATAGAGAATTCGAAATGAAGGATCTGGGTGAAGCTAAGAAGATTCTCGGCATGGAGATAAGCAGAGATAGGAAATTGGAGAGACTTTGTTTGACTCAGAAGTAGTAACTGAGAAAGGTACTAAAACATTTTAGCATGAATGAAAAGTCAAAACCTATTAGTACACCTCTTGCTATACATTTCAAGCTTAATGCAGCTTTTTCTCCAAAGAATGATGCAGAACGAGAATATATGTCAAAGGTTCCATTCGCAAATGCAGTTGGTAGCTTGATGTATTTTGACATTTCGCAGGCAGTTCGAGTTATGAGCAGGTATATGCATGGTCCTGGCAAGGAGCATTGATAAGCTGTGAAACGGATTCTATGGTACATTCTGATCAATGTAGATGTTGGATTGATGTTTTAGCAGGATAAAGAAGTTGGTCACTGTATAGTTAGTTATTGTGATTCCAACTATGCTAATGATTGTCGATCAACTACCGGTTATGTGTTTACTCTTGCTAAAGCACAGTGAGTTGGAAGTCTACCTTATAGTCAACAATTGCTTTGTCTACTATAGAGACAAAGTATATGGCAATCACAGAGGCTGTTAAGGAAGCAATTTGGCTTCAAGGGTGCTATTCATTTAGCAAAGAACCAAGTTTATCATGTAAAGACGAAGCATATCGATGTTAGATATCACTTTGTGCGAGAGATTATAAAAGAAGGTGACATACTACTTCAGAAGATCAAAACGACCAAAAATCTTATTGATATGATGACGAAAGTAGTGATAGCTGTCAAGTTCAAACATTGTTTGGACTTGATAAATATGGTTTAAAATTGAGTTGTGCCCTTTGAGGCAAGATGGAGAAGGTGAAAAAATTTCTAATTCTAGTGAATTTGGAAAATTCAAGTCAAGGTGGAGATTTGTCAAATAATGACTTAAATTTTTGGCCTATGTCCATAGCATAAGCGATAGCCTATGTGTGCAAAATTAAGGACATTAGGCGATAGCGTATGTCCAAAGTAAAGAGGAAAAATTAACCATAGGCGATAGCCTATGATTTGTAATAATGGAACATTAGGCGATAGCCTATGGAGGAGATCGACATGCACAGACGACAGTTTGACTGCCAAACAGGGACCAAAGTGATTGCATGTCCTCTCGTTTTTTAGTTTCCCGAGGTTATGCCTCCATTCGGTGAATGACAGTTCATAGCAGTTGACATCCAATGTACGCCAACTCATGATGTGACAGAAAGTAAAAATTGATGCCCACGAAACTGCAATCTTGAGTAGCTTTCAAGCAAGCCTTCAACTATAAATACAAGGCTTGGTAAGACAAAAATCGCGCAGTGAAGTGGAGAGCTTGGGTGAAACACAGTGCAAGAGACAAATATATATCCTTTTCTGCTCTTAGTTTAGGTACGATAATTTTGATCATATTAATTACTATTACAATTTGTAAGCGTAACAACATTGTGATATTTCAAGTATATATTTGGGTTCAGGATTTGAGTGTTATTTTCTATTTATATTTGTTTTTTTCACTATTATTAATGGATTTCGTTCTCCTTCGCTCGTGGATGTAGGCTTCGCCGAACCACATAAATCTTTTGGGTCTTCTGTTGGTGCTACATTTATTGAATTTTGATTTATTTCTATTTAATAATTTGTCCCATGCTCCGCAACATTTGCTCCATCCACGAGAATGAAAACCACAATCTCACTTAAGGGAAAAAAAGTGCCAAACCACTCATCCCAGCACTTGTTTGTAATCAGAGTACATTTTAGCATATCAAATAATCATTTATCGATTAAATTTGCAACTACACTTCACAAAATTAACATTAGGAACCTTGAAATTATGTAAATGTCAAGAATTAAATAGCAAATAAGGATAATTACTATTACATCAATACATAATACGTAATTCATTAGTACGATCCTCATTTTTTTTTTTTTTTTTTGAAAATACCAAGAATTAAATTAGGCAAATAAGATAATTACTATTTACATCCAATACATAATACGTAAAATCATTAGTACCGATCCTCATTTTTTTTTTTTTTTGAAAATAACATTAAAAACTATCCTTATATATCAGTTTCCATTAATATTTTTTAATTTTTTTTTTTTTTTTTGAAATACATTAAAATATCCTTATATATCAGTTTCATTATATTTTTTAATCCTTCCATTCATTGTATGAGCTTTTTACCATTAATTGATATTTAAAAGATAAAAATCCCCTTTACTTTATAATTGAATTTTTTATTTTATTTTCTCTCTTTTTCTTTTTCCTCTCTTCTTCTCCTTCAAATCGTCTTTTCCTCTTTTCTCCTTCAAATCATCTATTCACCATCTCTTCTTCTCAGATTTATCTTCCTTCTTGTTTTAATTTCTGAGATTTCTTTGTTTCAGTTGCTTAGCTCTTTTAAGTTTCTTTGATTTGATTTTCAGGTTTGTTTTCTAAGATATCATCAAAAATAATATTTTATTCATTAAATTTGATATAATTTAAAATTAGAGTGCTATTATAACTAAAATTGAAATTCAAAATATTAAGAAAAAAAAAGTTAGAATTAAAATATAATTAAAACTACCCGCAAAGTTTGGCGTATTTTTAATGATTTAGCCAACTACCACTGTATCAAACATGAGACATTACTGAATGCAAATTCATGATAACCTACAAATGGAATCCAACCAATCCATAGTAGTCACATATCATCAGCGGTTAAGCAAAACTGCATAACTTCAGAGAACGACACGAATTTATAAACCATCTCAACTATTTAACAGACACCTCCAGCAACTGATGCTAAGATGCCCATGACTAATTTTATCTTGCATGGATTAGCAATATCGACAGCATGAAAATACGGCAAAGCTCACTTCAAGCAAAACTATCTCATCTCAAGCCTTTTGCTTCGCTTGCTTCATTAGATCTACAAATTCCCCAAACACTGCAGTAAAAAGAAATCGTATTTCACCGTTGTGGAAGACACTCTATGCGATATAATTCATAAACACATGTATATGCACAAATATATAAACTGGGAAAAAGGACCAACAACATCATTAAAAAGCTGAAAGAAATAGTAAAGAGACACTCATAAACCAATAAATTCTTCTTTCTTTCAGCTGTCAGACATTTAGCATACTCTGACAGCGGACCTTTATAAACTAAAATATGAAAAGTGAAATAGCATTGCACACAGAAGTGGGAAAATCTTATTTTACCCATATCTGAATCGTGAGGGCCAGGGGATGCCTCAGGGTGGTATTGAAGTGACATGATGTTTAGTGCCGGATAAGCAAGACCAGCACAGCTTCCATCATTCAGATTGATATGAGTCACTTCCACACCCTCAGGAAGTGATGCTGGGTCAACTGCGTAGTTGTGATTCTGCAATGTAAAGAATTTCAAAAGTGAAAATTTGGCAGAAAGCAATAAGTTTGGAATTCAAATAAGTGTGCAAGTAAAAACATTCAAATGTGCAACAGCGAGAGCTTCATTGCCAAATTCTAGTTCGACTGCATTATAATATGACTATCCCCAGTATGCTTTCGCTTTTATTAGCAGTAATTTAACATCCATGGTAAACATATCATGAAATCAGATTTTTGATAACTACTCAAATCCAAGTCCATCTTTTACTTTATAGTATCAGCAAAATTAATCCTTTGTTCCAACTCCACTCCTTTCGCTGACTTCATGTATTCACCTAGCACAGCTCAAAAGTTCGTTCGAAGCATATTGAAACTTTTAATAGACGAACTCACCTGAGCACTAATCTCAACACGGTTTTGCCGAACATTACGAACTGGATGATTTCCTCCATGGTGGCCAAACTTCATTTTAAATGTTTTACCACCCAATGCCTGACCAAGCAATTGATGGCCCATGCAAATTCCAAAAACAGGAACCTTCCCTAGTAATTCCTTGACTGTTTGAACAGCATAAGGAACTGCAGATGGGTCTCCAGGGCCATTGCTGAAAAGAACTCCATCTGGCTTCAACTTTAGAGTTTCTAGGGCAGGCCACTTTGAAGGAACCACAGTGATTTTACAGCCATAAGAGGCTAAGCGCCTCAGTATATTATGCTTGATCCCAAAATCGTACGCAACAACCTTCATTTCAGAAAGATATGTCAACAAGTGCAAGAGCAAATTTTAGATAGAGATTTATTCAGCTTAAAATAAACTTAAAATAGTGATACTAACATGGTAGACCTCTCCACTTCCTTGCTTAAAATAAACTTAAAATAGTGATACTAACATGGTAGACCTCTCCACTTCCTTCAGAGTTAAAATCCCATTCTGGGTTTGTTTGATCAACCCATTCATAAGGGGATGTGCAAGAGACATCACTTATCAAATCAACACCTGCAAAAATGAACCAATTAAACTAGAACTTTTAGTCCTCTACAATATTTGCAACTATATCAAGCGGCATAATCTCTTTCCTACCAACAATGTCCCATGATTTAGACATTTGCAGAAGTTCCTCATCTGTCTTGGAATCTTCTGTGCTCAATACACCAATAAGGCTTCCATCTTGTCTCAATCTGCGAGTGATTGCACGTGTATCAACATCATCTGTGATAGAGAGAATTGAACTCGGGAATTAGAGTTTTAGACAACTAAAGTTCACAAAATTGGCACAGAAACCCCTAGTTACAACATAGAACACATAATAAACAATCAGCACTAGAATTTAGCTTACATATCCCCATGATGTTCCGCTCTGCTAAATAATCACCAAGTGTTTTGGTACATCTCCAATTTGAAGTACTGAAATAAACTGATCAGAAACTTTAACAGATGCAATAAGCAGACATCAACAGTCATAGGCAAAATGAAGATGCATCCTACTAACAAAGCAGGGGAAGGTGAAAGAATACCTGATACTTAAGCTCCTGATCACCAAACCAGCAAGGAAACATTGCCTTGACTCTTCATCATCTGGCAACCAAAGGCATCAAAATTAGATTCAAATACTAGATATTTTACATATTAAGCCAATACTAGATATTTTACATATTAAGCCATGGTTTGAAATGGCATTTGACCCACCAAAATTTACTCCAGTGTTTCCAATATGTGGATTTGTCATCAAAACAAATTGGCCAGCATAACTAGGATCTGTAAGAATTTCTTGATACCTGCCACATGAATAAATAAGAGTAGTTAAATTAGACTCCAAGATTGACTCCCATGCAACTTAACCAGTTGAATTCAATAACCATAACATTATTGTTTAATACATCACATATAAATTGCAAAATATGGTTAATGTTGCTTTTGGCTCATGCACAGGTCTAGAGTATCAGAATGCACATGGCTGTTATACTTGTTCAACAATAAAACTCTTAAGGCACACAAACTCGGCCAAAAAGGAAGCAAGTATCAGAAGCAACTTGAAGAAGATATTTATATGCATTGTTATTGTTAATATTTTTATTCATTTTTCTGCTTCACTATGTTTTTTATTCCGTGTTACACTACAGCGACATGCTACACTAAAGAAGTACATAAGCACTGTCCTAGATGAGCAAAAAGGATGATAGTGGTGAAGAAAAAAGCAAATCAAGGCAACTGCTAGGTGGACTTTTATTGTGTGGATGAGTAAGTTCAATGCCCATCATATGGAGCTCCTTGCACTAAAAATTTCAGAACATCAACCATTCAAGAAGTTGAAGAACAATTAAAAGTAGAGGTCAGAAGGCCAAAAGTAACAGTCCGCCTTCTTCCCATTCTGAAACTGATTTCTTCCTCTAACCCTTATTTCAAATCCCTTTCTCCCTCTAAATGCAAGTGCATGTGCATCCATTTCTTGCACAGATGAATAAGGTCAAGTAAGAAATAATGGTGCATGAAAGACCCCAAATTGTGGCAGCATGTTGACCTCGGATTACATGCATGCACCAAGGTCATTTCATGTCAACATTGGTCATTGAGAATATCAAGCATTGATTCCCAGGTACCAAGGCCACAGGGGTGGACATGGAAAATTTGAGGATGTCAACATCAAACTGTGACATGAGATGAGGATGTAAAAGTTGGTATGACAGTAAAGTTAAATGTACTTTCTAGCGAGCTAAGCAGTAAGCATGCCATCACAACAACTTGCTAGCACATAAGAAAACATAAGAATACCAAAAGAAAAGCCTCTTCTACCTTCTCTACATGTTAGCTAGCAGATATACGATATGATGCTAAACCATGTTAGGTCATCTTACCCTGTCAAAGATGTATTGAATACCACCTCACCAACTTGGGTTCCCGTGGCACCAAATGACTTGGCCCTCCAAATTGACCCATCTTCAAGTACAAGTCTAGCATCGGAAGTTTTCCAAGGCCTCTCTGCCAAACCTAAGGCTCAGCAACAAAGTTCCATCAGGTCGATCTTACAAACTTGGGTTCCCGTGGCACCAAATGACTTGGCCCTCCAAATTGACCCATCTTCAAGTACAAGTCTAGCATCGGAAGTTTTCCAAGGCCTCTCTGCCAAACCTAAGGCTCAGCAACAAAGTTCCATCAGGTCGATCTTAATTAAGTCCAATTTTTGTCCTTTTTGGGTGGAAAATCAACAGAAATAAGTAAATTCAAAAAAAAAAAAAAAAAGCTAAGCATTAGAAAATACACATATTTATATTTTTAAAAAATAAGTTACTAATGAACAATGTTCTGCAAAACAGAATAACTAGAGCTTCCAAATACTTAAAAAGGAAAAACCAGGAACCACTTGGATCAATGTGGTGATCAGACCCTAAAACCCAAGTTAAAATATATTCAAACCGTTCTGAACAAGTACATAAATCTCTAAATATTCGACATGTCCTATTTTTCTTTATTTATATTGGGGCTGAACTGTTTCTTTTCCAATGAAATAAAATCCACATATTATCTGGTAGTTACACCACCTCATTTTCCATTTTCGAGGCCAATTACACAATGGCAAAGCTTGTAATAAAAATGCTCTATTAGTTAAAATATGAATTAGGGAAAACTTCACAAAACTTAAAACATTCCAATTCTTGACAGCAATTAGGAACTCAGGGCACTGGTAATCCAATTCAAGGGATGTACATGATCAAAGAAATCAGTTTAGATGAGTAAATTAGACATTTTTATATGCAATTAATATCGCTCCCAGGCCTTCCACATAAATATCATATATAAATGTTATTACTTAAGTAGAAAATTCAAGCTAAGCCAAAAACAATTCTTTGCAGATTACATGTACAAGAATATGAACTGGGAATGAAAGGTAAGGAGAGAGAATGGCATTTCTACCAGTGGCGGCACCATCGGAAGAGACAGGAGAAGAGCAACGAACGGTGAAAATTCTCACAGCTGCCTTTTTCGGTTTCGGGATGTTAGTTAACGTCGAAGCAAAATTGGACTTCCATGTATTAGTCACTGCAACCTCCATAGTCTCTGTCTGCCTTTCACTGCAGGAACTTTAGGGTTTTGTATATTACTCCAGCTCTCTCTTTTATGAGATTTCTGATTCTTTTCTGCTTATAATCTCATTTTTAGCCCTGTTGTTCTTGGATTTGCAGTAATGACGAATTTTCCTTTCCCAAAAATCAAATTACTTTTTAACTCTTTAAGCCGGTGGTTTATGTTTGATTGCCCAGTGAAGCTAACTTAAATGGGAATAAACCATTTAAAATACTAAGCTTTGCATATTTTTTTTTCTTTCTTTTGAGGCAACAAAACTTTGCATTTTGTAATAATTGTAAAACTAAATATCTTGAACACCCCAATTTTCAGGTTTTATTACAATTGTACCCCGATTTGAAATTAAAGCCGTTAAAAAAATTATTATAAAATAGCACCCACCAGAGCACGTATGATTAGAACTTAACTCACTCCAAGTTAAGTGAAATGGTGCATTCACTTTGCACTAGCTTTCCTCCAATTATCGCGCTCTCATCTTTCTCCCTCTGTGCATAAAATCCCTGAACTTATTTCTCTCTCCACTTTTTATTCCTCTCTCCTCAATGTCAATTTTGAGTTTACCATCCAATTTGGGCATACATAAAACTTTTACTAGGGTTGTATATGCTCCAAGATATATACAAATGGGCTCACTAATTGCAACCAAAAAATACAATTGAGTTTTTGTTATTGAATTACTTGAGCCTTTAGTAATGTTCCTAGTAAATTCCATCCCAGTGGTTAACCTTTCGAGACTTTGATTCAAGTAAATAATTTTACAGTTGTCAAAATCCTATCAAGTACAACTAGCATGACACAACTAAAGAAAACAAAGCTAAAACATAATTATGAGCCTTAAAGTTTGAAGGCATGGCAAGAGGGAAGAGCGACATCGAGGAGAGAGGAGCAAAGATGGAGAGAGAAAGTAGGTTTAGGATTTTGGGTCAGAAGACTAACAGAGGGAGATAGGAGGGAATGTGATTTTGGGAGGAGGGTGATAGGAGGAAAGCTGATGCACAGTGAACGCGTGGTTTCACTTAACTTAAGGTGAGTTAACTTCTACTACAACTGTTGTAGTGAGTCTCATTTATGTTCCTTAATTAATTTATGTAATCTTAATTTGAAATTGGAGTGAACTAATAACAAAATTTGGAAATTGGAGTATTGTCGGGTTAAGTTCAAATTGGAGTATAATTATTATGAAACGCAAAAGTTGGAATATTTTAAATGGTTTACTCAATTAAACTGAAAATATATAAATTCTATAAAGTGTTGTAGTTGTTGTTAGCTATTTTACTATCAGTTAGCAATTATATATTAATTATTAGTGGTTAACTATTTATATACTAGTTTAAAGTAAAAGTATTCGATAAAAATAATGATTAGCTATTTATATATTAAATAGCTTTTGGTTGAAATATTTCTTTTATATTATTAATATTGTAGCGGTGGTGGTGGTGGTAGTGGAGTGGTGATAGTGGTGGGGATGGTGGAGGTGGTGGTGGTGGTGGTGGTAGTAGCAGCGCGCCGTGGTGGAGTGGTAGTGGTGATGGTTAAGGTGTTGGTGGTGGTGGTGGTGGTGGTGGTGGTGGTGGAGTGGTTGTAGCGATAGAGTGGATGAGATGGTGGTGGTGGTGGTAGAGTGGTTGAGGTGGTGGTTGATAGTGTGGTAGAGTGGTTGAGATGGTGGTGGTGGAGCGGTGGTGGTAGTGGTAGAGCGATGATAGTGTGGTAGAGTGGTTGAGATGGTGGTGGTGGAGCGGTGGTGGTAGTGGTAGAGCGATGATAGTGTGGTAGAGTGGTTGAGATGGTGGTGGTGGAGCGGTGGTGGTAGTGGTAGAGCGATGATAGTGTGGTAGAGTGGTTGAGATGGTGTTGATGGTGGTAGAGTGAGGTGGTGGTGGCAGCAGCGAAATAATAATTGCGGTGGTGATGGTAAAGTAGCTGAGGTGGTGGGGGGAGTAATGGTGGTGATGTTGGATGGGGGGATGGTGGAGTGAAGTGGGGGTTGGTGGAGCGGCGGCAACGACGACGGTGATAGAGCAAATTTGCCCCCTAAAAGGCTTAATGATGATACAATGTTTATTACGTAAGTTTGGATCGAGATTCCTGATCGCCCCGATTTTCAAACTAATGGTCCGTAGCTGAGATTTTACATGTGTTTAACTATTTTCACTTTTTCGGTTTACCGGGCATTTCGCCATAAAATCGGACCTTAGAAGCGCGTCGGGTTGTCCGGTGCACTTTCCAGAGCACCATCTCGTTTTGTGTACCACTCGGTCTGATTTAGTAAGAAAGGGTCTAGCCTATTTTAGGGCCCGCTAATGGCATTTCGCCACATCAGCCTAAATGGGGCCACCCACCTCCATTTGCCTATAAATAGGCATTGGGGGTGTGCCTTAAGGAAGGATTTTTGGATTGTAGGGAAACTATTGATTTTTGAAAACTCAACTAATAAATCAAAGAAAACTTGCGTTTCCCTTTGTTCAAAGTTGAGATTAATTATTCTTTTATCACTAAAACCTTTAAGAGCCAGTTAAAAACCCCCAAAACACATTCACTAATCTTCAATCTTAAATTATTGGATCAAGAACCTAGCATTTGGGTCTCTTCATCCATCTTTTGCACTAAACTTTGTGGAAATCACCAAAAGGTAATATTTGAGAGCCTCTAATTCATTTCTTCATCTTTTTCTTTTCCTTTTTGGTGTTTTAAGCACCTATTTTGAGTCTAGTTGTGAGGGAAACCTAGGATTAACCACAAGGGTGTTTTTATGTCTCTGTGGCGCACGACCTAAGCTAGTGGCGCAATCCACTACATGTGGCGTGCGCCACATTAACCTAGAACCCCTGTTTTGACTATATTTTTATCTAAAGCCCTTTTGATTTGGGAAGAGCCTTGCACCACTACGTGGGGCGCACGCCACTTCTCCCTGTGGTGCTAGACCCTTTGTTTCAGAGGTCTAGCATGTGAAATAATCAATAAAATGGTTTCATACTGAGATTCAGTGGAAAAGCCCTAACCTTAAGTGGTCTGGGTTGCATTTTCGTCTACAAATGGTCAAAATAAACAATAAAAAATAAGATTGAGAGCAATGATTGGTGTATTTATTCATTACTCATGATGAACATCAAGGCCATGAGCTTAAATCTTGTTCAAACCTTTAAATTCTTGCCTTTTAACTAATGTTCTTTACTTTTCAAGCACTTTATTATTCTGTCATTTAATTTATGCCTTTAATTTAATGTTTTATGTTGATTATTTAACTAACCCTCTATTTATTAACTATGTAATTAAAATATGCACCATTGATCATTTGTGAATGAATAAATATTTAGTGTTTGTGGATGATGATTTTTAATTCTGAGATTGATGTTTATATTGAGTTTGTGTGATATGGATGTTGTTATTTTGCTTTGCTTAGATGTTATATTATGGCAAAATGTAAGAGACCTTAATGGGTCTCATTTTCTGCTTATTTGTAATAATTATGGGTTTTGGATAATTTGTGCTTATTTGTAATAATTATGGGTTTTGGATAATTTGGAGGGTAATGGGTAGACTGTATAATTTGAGTTGGATTGTAATTCTTTTCTCCTCCTCCTTTCTTGGCTTGTTTAATTGATATATGCAATAATAAGCTTTATTGACATGGTTTTCTAAAGTTGCATCTAAACCATTTTACATCTCACTTTTAGCTGATTGCATTATTAAATTATTGTGAATCATTGGACAATGAGGAGGCCAATTTAACCGGCCGATAAGGATACCTAACACCTTCCCTATCGTACCTAACTAACTCTCGGACCCCGTCTCTGATTTAAAATCGAGTTAGTCAATTCCAAATAATTGACTAATTCGAGAATTTTCCCTAATAATGGTGGCGACTCCAAAAAAATAAAACTCTTACCAAAGTAAGAAAATCTTTTTCTGAGGATTAACAAATGGGCTAAATAAAGAAAACCGATTTACTAAATAAAATCAATCAAGCCCGTTCAACCCGATTCTTTCCTTTCCATTTGAGGGAATAATTGTGCGTCCTCAGCCTGGCAACTCTGCGGGGGATCGAACACAGAATCTCTGGTTTTCGGTTATGGGTTCGAGTAAAGAGTTGACTCCAAAAATTATCCACTTATTCACAAACTTTATTAATGCTATTAATTTTATAAATGAGTTTACTTTTTGTACTTATAAATGTCATTCATGCATTTGTCTCTTCTTAATCTCTTTTCTACCAAAAACCCTAAAGGTGATATTGGGGGTCGTGATCCTTTTACTCTATTCGACTGTTTGGATCTGCCACTGATATACATCACCCATATGCCAAGTACTATTTGGTATATTAAAAGAATTAGCACAATCCGTTATCACCATTTGCTTAGACCCAAAGCAAATGGGAGGAAACAACTAATTCTCGCTTATGGAACCTAAGACTTAATAAGCCCGACCAAAGCTCATGTAATTGACTCTAGTTTCTTCCTCTAGGTTCACCATAACAAATTTATGATTATTGCATTCATATAATAAATGCGAGAGACGTTAGTCCAAAACCCCATGATGGTTTATAGTCCTAACCTATTTGTTCTAGGGTATTAGAAAAGACTTTAACCTTGAATTGTGTGTGGGAGATATAAGGGTGAAGAGCATATAGTTTCCAACTCCCTTCCCCTTTTGTTTTTATATATTTGCTATGATTATGTTATGCTTTATTCATGAATTATTTAACTTGTTTATTGTAGCCATATAGGTGTTTTCTATCATGGCTCAATCCCGACGTTCAAAGTGCCAAAGGGCGAAGGACTTAAGAGAAGTGTTGGAAGCAAAATGAGCAAATGAGCTCTTTCTAATGGTGACTATAAGGCCGAAGCCCAAGTGCCTAAAAGGGAAGTTCCTCTAATTCCAACATCAACTAAAGAAGACAAATTAGAAGAGGCTCATCAACTCTTGCTTAAAATAAAGCAAGTGCAACTTGAAGCTATGACTCTCTTGCAAGGTGTGGAGGCGCGATTTACACTCATTCGCAACATCGCCAATCGCCTTATGGAAATTGGGTACTTCACCCTAGAGGGAGCAAAGCCATATCAAACCTCTTAGGCTTTAAGATTCAAGAATTGTAAACATTTAGATAGGGCTTTAAAAGAACAATTAATGTAAAAAGTCCACTTTTTTGGAAAGTAATGAAATGAATC